CTATCTGTCACGACGCCGTTCAACGCGCCTGTCAAGCGTTGGATGTCTGGGTTGTTGGGGTATTTGTATGTATGTGCGTGCTTGTTTGCGCCAACAGTGTATGAGCTCCCTCTTCAGCTAACAACTAACGCAGGCTGTCCGCCTAGGTAACACTGCATAGCGTAGCGCAGTTTGTCATTTGGAGCTTATGGCTGTCCAAAGTGAACGCACTCGTAGGAGGGCGAGCTCGCGCGCCCGCTGAAATGAGTGCCACTGTCGCTTATCTGTCCACCCAAACAATATAGCGACCAGCAAGAATTTACGCTTGCAGTATCCTTCCGCGCTTTTTGTTCGCCTTATTGTTGTTGCAATTTTTTAATGACACTCCATTTTGCCATCACAGCTACCACTCGCAAGCATAGAATTATTGCGCGCGTCGGATGGAAGAAAGTGCTTTGCGGTAAGTGGTTGGTTGGCGTTGGAATTGTGGTGGCATGTGCCGCGGTTTGGCCCGTTGCGTTGGGCTGCGCGCCAATAATTTGTGGCATTTGCGGCATAAATGATTTGTCACGCAATCAATGCGCCACAAAATTATAATGCTAACAATAACAAAGTATAAAGCAATAACAAGCTGACAAATGTGCGCTCTGAACGGAAAATACACAATATGAAACACATGCGACAATCGCCAACCGTAAGCACGTCCTTATTATTTAAAGCAAAAGCAAAAGCTTGTATTTATTTGCTTTTATGGGTATATATTTTTTCGGAGCAAAGGGAAGTGTGCTTTGTCATCGCGCAGGATTACAAGTGCCCCGCCCGGTCCTGCAGTCAATCCAGCGAATTTATTTGTACGTGTCGGCAATTTTGTCAACACCTCTTAATTTACTGTCGCACCGCAATGAAGTATGTTGTAAACACATATATATGTATGTATGTATATATGTGGTTACCTCTAAAGACATGTGTTGGTAATCCGCGTTTAATTGAGTTAAAGCTATGAAGAAGCCGTATATAACGCAATAAAAACGAAATTAATAGCCTTGCGTGAGTTTCGAGTGCCGGGGAATGTTGCGCTTAATAAATACATATCTTGATGTCGTAGCTAGAAAATGTATTCTAGTGAACACAATTTACTAGTTAAAAAAATTCTTCATTGTTTACTGAAGAGGGAATTTTGTAGAATTTTGCAAACGCTAAATGTTTAGAAATGTTCTCAAAAGTTATCAATGATAATTTTTAGTTGAAAATGTTAAGTTCGAAAATTCGAAGTTATGTTCGAACTTTTTCGAAGTTGCCAAAAACAAATAATATCGGCGTTTCTAGATGTGAAAAAGCTTAAAATCGCAAATTACAGCATTATTTTTTATCCAGATTCGGACATAACAACGTTCGAACCAACTACCCTCATGCTTTTAGGTCCCCAGACTACACAACACCGTCTTTGAAGCTCGAGAACAAGTTCTTCACTCGCATCCTTTCGAGGAAGTGCTGGGAGGACGATACGGTGTGTGGCACTCCCATCGGAGGGCTCTAAATTAAATCTAAGAGTAGGGGGTGGGCTACACTAAAAGGACTTCTCTTTACACCTCCAGACCACTGTTCCTAACTCTTCACCTTACCATTTTACATGCATGAACACACTCACACCCACACAAGCTCACACACACAATAACAGTTCAAGTACGTTTTGTGGCATGCGGTCCAACCGCCGGTGATAGTCCACTTAAAATATTCAAAAGTCGCTTTTTTATCTGTCACACTTTATCAGCATTCACGCAGGACGTTGACAAAAAATATATATGTATGTACATACTACATATGCAAAAACGTGGTACACATACGTACATACATACATATGTACGAATAAGTAAGTAGCTGCGTCTACTATGTGCGCATATCTCTCAAACACCGCAGAACCCATCTCATCGCAGTCTGTCCACACACATTTACATATTTGCAAAACGAACTTTGATGGAGGAGCAGGCGAACGACTGTCATACACTTCACCTAACTACCGCCGCCCAACTCCCAACTCTCGATTCGAGCATTCATTCTGCCACTCAGCCTTGCTGCCACTCATCTGAACGACAACTCAGCAACTCTATAGCGTTGGCAGCTTGAAAAATTGT